GGCGTTAAAACAGCAGTCTGGAAGAAACCCTTATATAGCGTTGATCGCCTGCATCCGGCTCCTGCTACATGTTAATGGACCCAGCTGTTCCTGCCGTGTTACGGGCAAGGTGCCTACTCCAATGTAAGAGGTCCCTTTAAGTGTTTTACGCCTTCTATCGCAGCTATTCTCTACCCCCGCCCTCCAGGTGGGGGGAACCCTTTCTATCCTCCCCGTCCGGAGCGCAGGTATTAATATCTGGCAGGTATTACATACAAAAAGGGAGTTGTATTTTTTGCCATAGAAGGAGAATGAATTTTCAGTGAAGATCTCTGGAGAATTCCCATCATCAGCCACTGGGTTTTCTGTGTCACCTTGGTTTTCTCCATAAGGATAGAGCAATGATGCTAGAATAAGAGAGAGAACACCACTGGTTTACAAAAGCAGTTATGTTCAGACCTTGATTTCTCCTCCCCCTCCAAACAGCTATCTGGAACATCAATTTCTTCAGAGGTTGCTTCCTGCCTCCACCTGGGTTGGATACTGTTCTTCAGAAAACCATATTTGGTTTTGAGATTTTCAACTGCTAACCTAACCCTTAGCTGATGGTCTACTGGCCCTTTTATGGCTTGTGGACTTCAACTTCCTCAGCTTGCCTGGCTGAGGAATTCTGGGAGTTGAAGTCCACAAGTCATAAAAGGGCCAAGTTTGAAGACCCCTGGTCTACTGGGTAGTATCTAACCACTGATCTCTATTCATGAATGGCTACCTCATGATTGCTCTTGGCAGGAACTCTGGTGAATTGATAGTTTTATTTGGGAAATGACCAATAGGAGCTAGTAGAAATTTGTTATTAGTATAAGGGCAGTAGGCCTCTAACATTTAGCACAGAATATTCTATGATCTTCAAACATATTTTTTTTTGCATTTTAAAGATTGATTACCAATATTCAACTGCAATTTCATTTGAGTTCTGCTTACAAAGGTACTGATGGCATTAATGGGAGTTTAGAATTTTGCCACTTGATCCCATCACAATAAAACAGACTACAACCATAAAGAAGTTTGTACTCAGTTTGTACTCAGATGGGTGTGAGAAGAATTTTCTTGAGACTTTGCCATCCAGTACAGCACGTATAGGAAGAAACATCTGGGCATACATGAAGGTGTAAGGCTGCGTTCTCTAACATGAATGGCCTCTTGATGAGTAAACTTCCACCTCCTAGAATTCTCCCAACAGCATGGCTGCCGTGAAACTTCTGGGAGGTGTAATCCAAACACCTGGAGAACATGGTAGGGGCAAAATGGGAGATTATTTTTGGATGAAGCTAACTGTGATCCTTAT